CTTCTCTACTACTACTTCTTTACTTACTCTCTCCTACTACTAGTGTCGTCTTCCTACTACTACTCTCTCTACTACTACTTCTCTACTCTACTACTCTCTCTCTCTCTCTCTCTCTCTCTCTCTATATATATATATATATATATATCGCCATCCAAGCCTTATCCCAATGATTTGGGGTTGGCTATATATATATATATATATAGTTCTCTTCTATCACTTTCTCTGTCTTTCTCTCTCTATGAAGCCATGTAGCCATCGCTGTGAAGCTTTGTTAGACAATTGTGAAGCCTGATTTGTGTTCGAGAACGTCCAAATAGGCTATCAAACAAGTATTCAAAAACTTCTAGATATCAATAGTTCCAATTTCCAGGGAACTAAAACTTCCAAGTTCCAAGGAATCCCAAGCTTCCAGTTCTCAAATGTGCCCCGACAGAAAGTTACCCCTTTGAACCAAAGATTTTGTTGAAAAAAGCAATACTTTTGGGATGTTTCGTCAATTATTGTGTCATCTAATTTCAATTCAATAGGTACTTTGGTCACATTAGATAGTCAATTAGTATATAAAGTAAATCCCTCCATATTCAGCTAGGTGGTAGGAGTTTATGTTGAGCTATACCACACGCTTAATTGAATTCTCAGTTAGGCTTGCTTTCCCTCAAGTTGCTAGAGAAATGGATCCACATTGTAGCTAATTCAGGCAAAGAAGAACAATAATATTGCACCGGGGTGAAATATCACAAACTTGCAAACTACAACTACTGCTATGAAGATCAAACAATGAGTTATATAAATAAACAATCAAGTGATATACTCAAGTAGGTTTAAAAAATTTATAATAGGTTTAAAATTTTCTCAATACTCAAGTAGGTTTAAAAAATTTATAATAGGTTTAAAATTTTCTAAAAGCAAAATTACACTAATATGAAACTATAAGAATTTTTTTTTCACACAATTTTTTTAAGATTTCTCAAAATCTAATAAAAATTATTTAAAGAAGGATGAATAAGATACAAACATCAGACTCTCTAATTACATTTGATTCTAATAAAAGAGGATTTTTTCCAGTAGAAAAAAGAAAAACATTAAAGAAGAAATTATATATAAGATAAACATGACATAACTTTGATAAAGTTCAAAGGATAGAGGGGATCTATGAAGGCTGAAAATCTTAAAGTATTAAAGCTTTCCTGGCATTCATTGAAGAAGTACACAGCAAAATTGTAGGAACGTACCTTTTCAATTTCACTAACTTCATTGGCTTTAGCCACACGAAAATTAAGTGCCTCTTCTTTCAGATGCCTGCTTAAATATGCAGCAACTCAATGATAAGGCTTGCAATCATTAATACCTTTCCTAATTAAAGGAGAAATACATTAATATCAAAGAGCCTCAATTTTCATGGAACAAGTCATTTGAAGCGTTATCATCGAACATGAGATAACATTACAATAAGATATAAACATTGAAGTGTAATTATTTAATTAATGAAGAGCAAATAAACTTAGCAAAGTCAGTGATAAATAATACTTAAGAAAATCCCTATGACGCTAATAAAGCCTTGCAACTCCAAGAAATATGCATCAAGGAATTAGTTTGAAGCCTCTGGCCCCAGTCAAGAAACCCTTTCTGGATTGATATTCTGTAATATCATTTGGATGGCCATCAAAATTAGCATAACTTCCAGCAGTAAAATCTCATGCAAACGGGACCTCTGAATGACGACGCATTGAAAATCACATTTCATGTTGCAACCCCAGCAAACCCACTTTAAATCCCATTTATGTTAAAATCATTTCCTAGAACTGTTAATACAATTAGAGCCAGATGGTTCACAATGTGAAACCAGGAATAAGCTAGAAAATGACATGACAAATTCATAAGAAGTAGCAGAGTTGATCCGCTTCACAAAGCCAAAGGAGGCAGGCGCATAGAAGAAACACAACCTCATTGATGAAAGAGGCATACTCTATAAAGAGAAGGGTAGTTTGGGAAGTGAAAAGATGTAACTCATTTGTAATTTGATTGTTAATTTTTCTTCTTGAGATCAATTTAGTAAATGGAAATATGGCCAAATTATGGTTACCGGAATCGTCAACCCTAGCTAGCGATTCTGGTTGGAACCGCGATTTTGCGTTTCTATGAAGCACTCACCACAAATCCTGATTCCTGCAAGTTTGGAATCACGACTCCACATTTTTTAATCTCGTTCTAATGTTTTTGAAAACTAGATTCCACATCACCAAAGTTTGGGATTGTGGGCACACAAACCGTGATTCAACCAATGAGACCTCGCTTCCAATTTTTAGAAGTAGCGATCAGAGATTTTAGGAATCTAAATCCACAACATCAAAATGATTGCCAAAATCTTATGGAATGCTTGAAATATTTTAAACAATATTTGAAAATTTCTGATATTTAATTTTATTTTCTATATTAAATCTAAAAACTGGTCTAAGAAGGTGATGACCTTAAACTTTTCCTTAAACCCATCCTATGCCCAGGTAAAAGGGCATGGTTACGTTAGGTAGGCAGCCAACGTATAATTTTGCCTAACTAAAATTTTTCCTACTTAGGCAACTAATTCAGAAGTTTAGGGCGAAGGGAAAAGACCTCCATGTGGTCTTTATTGATCTAGAGAAAGCTTATGATAGAGTCGAGATTTAATTTGGCGAGTGTTGGTAAAGAAAGGCGCTTCTAAACACTATATCAACTTGGTGAGGGATATGTACAATGTAGCGGTAACTAATGTATGAACTAGTGGAGAGACGAGTGAATTTTCAGTGACAATAGATCTATATCAAGGGTTAGCATTGAGCCCGTACCTCTTTGTCTTAGTTATGGACGACTTAACTAGGCACCTACAGGATGAGGTACCGTGGTGCATGTTGTTCGCAGATGACATAGTTTTGATTGATGAGACCCGAAACGGCGTTGACACAAAGTTCGAACTTTGAGGGATACTCTGGAATCCAAAGGTTTTAAAATTAGTTGAACTAAGACAGAGTATATGGAGTGCAAGTTTAGTAATAATAGAAGTAGAGACGAGGAAGTAGTTAAGATTGACGACCAGGAAGTACAAAAAAGACCGTATTTTTGACATCAAGGAAGATGTCGCAAATAGAATTAGAGCTGGATGGGCGAAGTGGAGATGTGCAACTCGAATTTTATATAATCGCCGCATACCAATGAGGCTGAAAGGCAAGTACTATAGGACAACGGTGAGACCAGCATTGCACTATGGAGCGAAATGTTGGGCGGAAAAAAAACGATATACCCATAGAATGAGTGTAGCGAAGATGAGGATGTTGAGATGGATGAGTGGCAAGACAAGAGGGGATAGAATTCATAATGAATCTATTCGAGAGAATTTAGGCGTAGCACCAATAAGCGATAAAATGAGAAATAGTAGACTAAGGTGGGCTGGCCATGTATGGCACCAACCAAGTACAGCACTTGTTACGAGGGCGAATTAGTTTAAGTGGAAGACTGAAAAGGGCAAGGGGTAGGCCCAAAAGAACGTGGTTGGAAGTAGTCCTAAAAGATATGGGGGCTTATAGTCTCACTGAGGATATGACCTTTAATAGAGCAGAATGGAGAATGGAGAATCAAGATTCATGTAGCAGACCCCAATTAATTGGGAAAAGGTTAAAATGATGATGATGATGATTCAATCTAGAAACTCTAGGTAAGTACTTAGTTAAGTTAAGGGTATTCAAACTTGTTTCTAATAGTTTTCAGAGAACTATGATAAAGGACATCTAATACATTGACTCCAATGTTAGGCGATGGCTGTCAAAGACATTGATTCCAAGAATAGGGGAGCCCTAGGTAAGCATACTTGATATATGGAATCCAATACGAAGGAATTCTTTCTTCCAAACAGTCTAAAAAATCTTTTGCCTTCCGGAACCCGTTTCTTGACAATTTCTAGCCCAGTTCTATGTGGTTTGGTGTGCGATTCCTGTAATTAGAAATCTCGATTACTAGTTGATGGGATTGTGATTCCATAAGGTAGGAATCTTGATTCCTATTGGATCGAAGCATAATTTCAAAATAGTACAAATCCTGCTTCATGTGATATGCATTATATGGACGATGATTTCGACAAGAGGAATCATCTGGCCACCCACGATTCCAATTCTTGATACGATTCGGAATCACAACGATTCGGAATCACAACGATTCGGAATCACAACGGGTTAATCGTGTACTTCTACTATTTAATAATAATATTATGAAAAATTGTGTGATCCAGTGGGACAACGTTTTCACAGCTTCTCTTGACTGTATAGAACCTTGCTTACTATATAGAACCTGGCTCGCGGAAACTCTTTGGGATTTGATTCTTCACCTATATGATGAATCTTAGAGCAGATCTATAAGATCAAAAGTATCCTTTAATGATCTAATATGGTATCAAAGCATATTTATTAAGTTTTGGTTGTTTTTTGGTGATCAAATAAGAACTTTTTCACCCTTTCTCTCTGTTGCAAAGTTTCAATTGTCCCTCTTGGTGATCAAATTCAGGATTTTGTACCCTGTAACTTTGCTGTAAAGATCCTTTGCTTTCTTGGTTAAGCTTATCACTCTGGTTGTTTGAACTAAGGGATTTTCTACTAAATTCGATAGAGAATAGGTGGATCTCCAAACCCCCTTTTCCTACTCATTTTGATACAGAATGCTCTTTCCATAGAGGGACAGAGTTTTTCTTATGGTTATTTGCAGACTTTGATGAACCTTCAATCACTTTCTGGGGGGAGATTGGTTTCTAAATTTGCCCTTCATTAGTATTTTGAGGGCTACTTATTGCTTGATAAGAATTTATTGGCAGTCCAGCACTAATTTCCTGACTTCTTTTAGTATTTTGAGGTCTGGTGATTGCTCAATCAGAATTTACTGGCAATCCAACATTTATTTCCTGGTTATATATTCTTCTCCAGCTGGTTTTTCTTAGATTATTGTGCTATTGAACACCAGTGATGCTTTATAATGGCTAGGACGAATGGAACATCACATGTTGTGCCTTCCAAATGCAATGGAAGAAACTATTTCCGCTGTTCATCCATCATGAGTAACTTTCTACAGGGCATAGATTTGTTTGGGGCATTTGATGGCTCTAAATCTAGACCTGTTGAAGACAGAGGTGCCTAAAAATGGAGAAATGACAGCCAAAATTAAAACCTAGATTCCCCAATCAGTTGAGGACAACATTGCCCTACACTAGACTCCTGCCACATGCAAGGACAGGTAAAATTAGCTGAAGAAGATCTACGCAGACTAATTATGCTCAACTCCAACAAATCTAGCAGATAAACTTGAATGGAATAAGGAGCATACAAAAGTATCACACTGCACTGGAAGAGCACTGCACTAGAAGGCCATTAGTTCCTCAAGCACCCACGGAGACTATGGCCTACTTGAGAGCGAGATTTCGTCCGCTCCTGTTCCTAATGGGACTTCAAAATGTGTTCCAGTTCACCAGATCTTCAATCGTGAATAGACCCATTATGCCAGATTAGGACACTGCACTAGAGGAGCTGCGGACCAAAGAAACACAGATAAAGGGGATGTAACGAATCTCCTCATGATGCAACTCTTTTGGAATTTTTAAGGGAGAAAAGCAAGGGATGTTAGTTGTCCACTGTACACCTGCAAAGAGTATGGCCATATGTCATCCTAATGTCTCAAGAATCCAAGTGCCATATGTTGCTATTGTAATGAATTTGGTCGTGTTATATCCATAAGCAGGAAGAGGCCTCCCAAGAATCCAAAGACCCACGCATTGATTGCTAATGTTGGTGAGAGCTCCACTCATATGCAAGATGGTAACAAAATACAAATCCCATGTCTACACCACCACTGGCATCAAGGACATCTCAGCTGCTTTCTTTGGAATCTGGTCCTCAAGGCAATTGAGGACAAGGGAGCCTCCTCATGTTTTCATCTAACTCTTGGGTCATCGATTCTAGTCCCATGGGACAAATGATGTGCAGAAAAGTAAACACATCTTTCTATAATGGTGATTCCAAAATGTATACTACGGATGGAATTTCTCTTCCAATATCAGTGTTGCAGCCCTATCTGTTTTCCTTCCGCCTCCTCTCTTCTCTCTTTCCAAAAGGCTAATACTCAAAAATTTTCATATCTGAGTCACAGCTTGTTGATAATAAATTTCATATCTTATTTCATTTATCTCGTTGTGTTCGATACAAAATCTTCGTACTAGGAAGGTAGTTGGATGGGGCTCAGACATGAACAGCTCTTTCTCCTTGATTTCCCATCGGGTAAATCTCCTCCTACTACTTTACTTGCCCCAAAATATGATGATAGTTCCCTTAAGAAAGATATAAGACATACCCTACAAACAGAGAAAGCCAATCAATCAAGGAAACAAAAACCCATTATAGAGGGAAAAAAGACCAACACAAAGCTAGTAGCTCATATGTATGCGACCACAGATCTGTTCAACCATGGTTCAGGGCAGCATTTTGCAAAAGGACCCATTTGTGGTTCGGTGGCTACTTGGAAGATGATTTTTGGCCTTTTCACGTGCACACTCACTTTCAAAAAGTATGTGCTTTGTCAGTGGGATAAAAACAGTAAGTACTTCTTGAGTCAACTATCTCAAAAAAAAAACAGAAAGTGCCTGCTTTTATCCCAACCACAAAATCACACATTTCTTCGAAAGTCAAACCACATGGTTTCCAAACCACAAATAACAGGCAAACAACTGGTAACATATCCGACTAAATATTGTGCTCATGATGCTTTCCAAAAACATCCAAGGAAACAAATCCCAAAAGGCAGGTATATGCAGTAGTGAAATCACAAATGGGCTGGTTATTGGACCTATTATCTGCAATTCGCTTCTCTGCCTTTAACATTGAGTTTGCAAGAGACTCTGCTAAGATTTTCATCTTATCAACCTGCATGATCAACAAAGTAAATCAAAATGTGAGACTTCCTTTGCCAACAATCCAGGAAGAAAAAAAAAATACCCATGAACTACCTGCTTGTCACTTAGCTAGGACCAATAATTAATGACAATCACACTTATCTTATTCCCAGAGACCATATGAGATAGAACGCAGGGATTCAGATTCAGACAAAAATTGCTAGAGCTGATTATACATAGACTTGATTTAAGGTAGATGGAGAACCCTAGTACTAGGTTTAATTAATTCAAAAGATAAAACAAATACATATGTGTATGCATAGAATTTCACTTCTTGGAACCCTCATTCCAGCAAGCCTTCTGATTTGTATCTGATTTTATAGTACTCAATTGCCTGGGAAGCTTTTAAACAACACTTATAATTTTCCTATGGTGACCATGAAGTATTATATTACATTCCAGGTTCAAAACAATAAACCCACCTTGCTGCAATTTAATTACCTGTCAGTAAAGTAATCCCGATTTCAAAATAAATTCTTGTGTTGAAAATATTCTTTGCATGCTGAAGAAATTATGTTTGCATGCAAAACAATAAATAAGCCTATCAATATGTTGTTTTTTCAATATGAAATCCATGCAATGAATCTTTATTGAATAAATTATTTGTGAGAAAATTCACAGAAAGGCCCATGGTTATATTGCATGCACGCGGAACATGCACCTTCAGTTCCATATGAGAATCTGTTTGAATAAGAGCGAGTTGCAGCAAGGTCCACACAGGATTTGGAAGTTACCCTTTAGAGCCAAATTTTTAGAAGTTCTATCCTCAGGATTCTGACCTAAATTTTCCTTTCCATCTTGACATCCAGTTGATACTCATGCCTTGGCCGAGCAACACATAGAGCTGCCACTCAAATGTCACAAATTGCCCAATTCAGCAAATAGCCGCCTTCCTAACCTTCGACGAATGAGGTGGAGAAAGTTCCCCACTTATCCGATCTTTTCCTTTCACTTAATTGGTTAAGAAGTTGACAATGTGATGCAGGAAATTTGAGAAAACAGTAAAATAGCAAGAAACAAAGCCAAACACAAGCACAAATTCAAAAAACCAAGGGTTTTTCTCCACATCCAAGCTAGGATGCAAAATGTGAGCTTTTCTTTTTCTCAATTCTGGAAAATCACATGACTGCCTTCTCCTAGGCCCCCTACGTACCTCTTTATAATATCATTTAACATTCCAAGTACAAAAAGTGTCAAAACAAATAATGCATTTACCCATATATCCCAACTTAAACTTAAAATTTGATATTAATTCTACTTAATTTAGAACGAGACATAAGTTCATTCATGAACTTCGAAGCATGTAACCCTTCAGACTTATTTTCACCTTTGTTTCTTCACTTGTGTGTATAAAGCAATAAACAATTTCTATTTTGGATTCTCTAGGAAGAGGCGCATTCAATCTCTATCATATTCCTTTGGGCCTAGAAATCAATACTATAAGAAAGACAGGTAGACTTACTCTCTTAATAGGTTTAAGAAAATTATATAATATTAGAAGTGTACTGTAATTACTATCATGATAACTTTGGATCAAAAGGGAGAGTACAATTTAAGAAAGATACAGATAGATCTAGGCACTCTTTCTATATAGACATGTACCTTACTATATTTGTCAACTACCCACCTTTCTAGGTCACAGGCCCTATATCCTCTCTTGGGACTGGGTCCTCTTTTATTCTTGCAACATGTGTCAACCCCTTAACTGTGGCTTAATAATATCATCATCATCAACGCCTTTCCCTAACTATTTGGGGTCAGCTACATGAATCGTGGTCCGCCATTTTGCTCTATCAAGGGCCATATCCTCAGTGAGGCTATAAGCCCCAACAGTGTTTCTTACTACTTCCAACTATGTCCTTTTAGCCTACCATTTGCCTTTTTGAGCCTTCCACTTGAACTAACTCATACCTCCTAACCGGTGTTGTATTGGGTATGCGTTGTGCAAGTCCAGTCCACTTAAGTCTGCTTTCTCTCATCTTATCATCTTTTAGAACCACATCTATGTTTTACCAAATGTATTCATTTCGAATTCTATCCCTTCTTGCCTTGCCACTCATCCATCTCAACATCCTCATCTCAGCTACACTGATCTTATGTATATGTTGTTTCTTGACCGCACATCATTACGCCCCATAAAACAAAGCTGCTCTCAGAGCTATCTTATAAAACTTGCCCTTCAGCTTCATTGGTATGCAATCACATAACTTCGGTTGCACATCTCCATTTCGCCCACCCAGCTCTAATTCTATGTGCAACATCTTCATCAAGCTCTCCATTTTCCTGGATTATCAACCCAAGATATCGAAAGTGCGCTTTTTTTTTGTATTTCTTGACCGTCATTATTGATAAATTTTGATAGACCAAACTGATACTTACATCATGAAGTGAACGAAACAAATAAGTAGACTTTCAAAGGAAAAATTATGTTGGAGAACTCCTAATTTATATAGCAACTATATTTCCAACAATTCACTATAGTAAAACAGAAGATTTCAGACAATTTTGTCAAATGTGATGTTGACAATCCAGAGAAAACCATCCTAATAATACACAATTTTTCTTTAAGCAAGTATAAATATACATACTGAATCTCGACCCAGGGATGAAAACATCATATAATATCCACATACAAGATTCGATCATGATTACAAAGGAAAATAGGGAATAAATAGACTCCACAATTAAAACGTCAATAAACAAAAAACTTCCATTAGAAATAATAATGTTTAGAATGTCTTTAATCTTATACAATAGAAGCATATGAAATGCCTATGAATGCTACAGGTGTAGTTGGGAGAAGAGAAAGAGCAAACAGGAAGTGCATGGGAAGCATTACTTCAGAACTACACACACAACCACCAATACAAGATGTACAAAGAGACAAAACACTTGCATGGCATCCTATAAGAACATCACACTGAATCAACATTTATTGGGGGAGATATGAGGGGTGAGGATGTCCAATTACCATTTGAGGGTCCATGCAAATTACCCAAGGAAAGGTTATAAAAGTATAATTGTCACAAATCAGAAACGAAATTCACCATACCTTCTGAGAATGGATCTCAGGTGAATCTCCACTGCTTAGGACCTTTTTCTTCAGAAAGAGCACCTCCAGTCTAGAACATGACGTAACTTCTGCAAGAGCTTCCTTCAAAGCCTAGTTTACAGACATACATTTGTTATAAAATAGTGGAACTGGAAGAATAAAGGAATCTGAACAATTCCAGTTAACTACAATATGAGTAAGCATAACACCTACAAAGACTAAATAAAAGTATTTGTGTTATCATTAAAAAGGAGAAGAACAAAAGCAGGAACTATAGAACTTTTGTAAATCTACTTAGTAGTCGTAGGGTAGCTCCCATGACTGTAACACATCAAGCTAACCATTTTTGGTCATATAACTATGAAATTAATTGTTTCATTTCCTAATTGTACAGAATTACAGATGTACCTGAAATAAAATGAAGCACAAACAAACTGCTCAAGGAAAAAATAACAAAAACAAACATCTACATGCCATGGACATAGAAAAGAGGATAGGACATCCTACAACTTCATACACAGGACACCAGCAGCCTTCCAGCCTCACTAACCTCATAGAAAATATAAGGAACACTAGAATGGTTCGATCAACTACCATACCTGCTAGTGATGTTATATAGTCAAATTAATCTAGACTTGCTGCTTTTGATGTATAGCCAACAAAAATGTGTTATAAAAGGTTGTAACTCAGTATCAATGCCGGAAATACTTTCCCCAAAAACACACATATTCAAAAATTAGGAGTACACTTTTGATGTATAGCCAAGAAAAATGTGTTACAAAAGATAGTATCTCAGTATCAATGCCAGAAATACTATCCCCAAAAACACACTTATTCAAAAGTTAGGAGTCTACAGTTCCATAAACTAGTGAATATGATATAGAAGCATGAAACACAATGTGAAACAAGAAGTAAGAAGTAGACAATTTGCAGCCACACATGACCTTCCTGTCAGGGCTTGATGTTCTCTTAATTAACAGTACCAAGTAATGCTTAATCTCTACAGTGAAATTGCCTATAATGCCTAATGGCTAATGCATTGTAAAAACTCACAATCACACATAAAGAGATAACATCAGTGAAAAGCAATGCTCACTTCAAATGTGGCAAGTGTTGTTTTTTCAGATGCTGCTTCTTGAGTTTCATGTGATTCTTTCTTTGCATAGAGTTTTTGTTGCAAGGCTGCCGCTTCAGCGTCTATTCTGTAAAACCAATTAAAATTAGAAAAGAAAACAAGAAATATAATTATTAGCGACGATAACAAACGTTTCTATTTAATATTGAATCAAAGTTTATTCAATGTCAGAAAAACCTACCCTAGTCCACTCAAAATGTTCAATGGGCAAATTCCATAAATAAAAAAGCTGGCATGTCCAAGATTTTGGTCCTATATATATTTTTTTGCTATTTTGTCACATAACAAGTTGTTGATCAGTACTGTAGCATTGCCATTATTGTAACAACCTGATTCCAATCCCACTATAGATATTTATTATTTTAGAATTCTGCAAACAAGAAGTTTGAAAAACCGCCCAAGTTTTCCTGAGTTGACAGTTCTACTTGGCAAGTTGACTTGGTTTGGTAACAACCAAGCCGCAACCAAATTCTAGTTTTGAATAATGGCCTGAATTATTTAGGAGCTAAACACTCCAGATAGTATATGCATAAGGTAATTATAAATACAAACACATGATGTCGTTTAGTTACATCTTACATAATCATCCTTGTCAAATTCTATAAAATAATCTGAAGAAGAAAGATGTCTCAAGTAATATACTGTCTTTCCCATACACACAGGATCCAAATCAATACAAGGTATATTGCTGACTAATTACAAATTTTAAGCATTTAAAACCACAACATAAATTCAAATATGAAAAGAAATAGAAAACCAAAACATAAATAAACCAACACTATGTAAATAACTGTTCAAGATTTTTAGAAAGAGATTCAAATTATTTGAATCAAACATAAGTAAATTAAAATTTGCTACCAACAATATAGTAAGAGAATCAATTACAATTTGCTACCTATATCTACCCAACAATGTAGTAAGAGAGTCCATTCTTGAGAAGCCCATGGACAACATTAAAAAATCCCCTAGTGATGAGGGGTCAAGGAAGGAGTCTGTCTCACTGTCTCTCCCATAAACATCCTTTGCCCCCATAAGCAGTTAAGAATGCCTTAGTACCTCGGAATGTCTGCATGTAACTTCAACCCCGAAATGGCACCCTTTACAAACTGAAGCAATTCCTCCCGCTTGACCTGTGCGAGAATATAAAATGATAAAAGGGAGAGAAAGCCCAGGCTAAAAATTGAGTTCATTTGTACTCTTTATAGATACAAGGCGATTATGCCAAGAACCAAACTCAAACAAAAATGCCATTTATAAGGAAGGCCAATGCATCCCCTAAAAAAGAAGTGATCATAACAAAGCAACAGAGGTTCACTACATCAATGTATCAAGGACAAAAACCAAACAGTAATATGTTCTAGACATCAAAAATATCTAGAAATATGGACATAAAAAAAAAATCGACAAATTTTATATTAGGCAATCAAAGTGGAATTTCAATTACATCGTAATAGAAATCAAACAAAAAGAGCTAACGAGATTCAAATAAGAGAGCCAAGAATCATCAAGCCTGTGTCGAAGTAAATCTTAATATTCAATGATAACAAGATTATTAATAAAAAAACAAAACATCAAAGACGTGGGGATCAAAATTGAAGAACTTTTGAAACTTCAAAAGATAAAGATTCCTTCGAGACACATTCGCACCCCATTTTCTATGGGATCATAAGCCCCTACCAAAGCAATCAGAAATCCCTTTCAATTAAAAATTGAGCTCCCTTGATGGAAGAAACGAGCTGCACTCAGGCTCTAGCTCCAAGATCACTGGAATGAGACTCCAAAGGGGAGCTGCCACCCCCAACCAAGTTGCCCGCATCTATGGGAGAACAACATCATCTGCTTGGCTATCAAAAATGGCCAAAAGACATATGTAATGCTCACAAACACCTTGGCCTGTTGAGGTTATGTGACCATTTAAAGGCCTTATGAGAGCATGTAAAACTATGACTATAGTGATGTGATAGCTCCAGTGAGAGCGTGGTCCGGATGGACTATGTGGCATGGTCCAGGGTGGATAGTGAGGCATCATTGATGCCAATGCCATGACTCACCTGAGTTTTGACAGGCTATGATTCAAGTTGATGTTTAAAAACCTGTAGCATTGGGCATTTGTGTACAGCATATGAGGGTTTTAATGTAGAGTCATCCCTTGATGAGGTCGGAGTTGAGCCCAGGGTGGTTTGGCCAGGGGACTGGATGTGACCCATGTGAGCGGTGGTTGGCCAGAGAGGACAAAGGCCTACCATCGCATGACATCTGCACTAGATAGTCGTTCGAGAAGCAGCCCTCTGGGTGAGGGAGTGTCGTGTAAATGTGTCGAAGAGATGTCTCCATGCAACATTGGATTGTATTGAAAGGACCCATGAGGTATAATGCTAGAATGAGGCTTGTACTTGTCCTCAGGAAGGAACCTGTAATTCGTGGGCTTGGATTGTCTCTTTTATTTATTGGCTGACTTTGATAGTCTAAGCATATTGTGGGTCATGAGAACTGTTGGGTCAATTTGAGAAGATGACTGTGAGATGTGATCTCTATAAGGGATGGAGTCCTCAATATATTTGTGATATTCTCAACTTTTTGGATCCAAATCCCATCAAAACTTCTAATATATGTTTACTTATGTTTTAATTATATTTTAAATAATAAAATGAATTTTTAGACCTCTCAGGATATTTCATTTTAGTGAACCAAAACGGGGAACAATTTTTTATTTTTTTGGTAAAGAAAAAGAAATAGGTCGATAAGAGTAGTATAATAGACTTCAAACAAGATCTAGGATTTTATATTGAATGAAGATAGAACCAAGAGTTTTGTGGCAGAAATTTAAGCTTTGAAAGAAAGAAAGAAAATTGAGTGGACAGTAGCATGAATACTAGCATGAACAATAGGTGACCCTAATGTGGAAATATGAGAGAGAAAGATTACAATTCAGGAAAGGAGGATCAAAATAATGAAAGAGGATAAAGATTAAGAAAGAAAGATCAGGGTCTAATAAATCTTCAAGGAGGAGAAAATATGGATTACCTTGATTAGAGTTGATCACAATGAGGTCATATTCAAACCTTGCTCTGATACGATGAAAAACATAGAGAAGAAGAGAGAAAAGAGGCACACAATTGAAAACACACACCAGGGCCAGCCCTAATTCTCGTATTAGAGTATGTATAATGTTACGTCTTGGGTGACGACAGATTTTCCCTTATGCCTTACAGCAAATGACTTTACAATATAAACCACTTAAATACACAGAAATTACAGAACTGCCCTTGATTGCATTCTAACAGCATGGTCCTCCAGGCCTCCTCTTGATGAAGAACAAGTGTCTCCAATGAGTAGCCCACCACCTTATTATGATTTTTATGGTGAAATGGTCATAGAAGCCCAATGTGTCCAACTATTCGAATTCAAGGGCCTGCAATGCATCTAGCAAAAGGCAGCCTATTAAGTCAAAGGGTTAGAGTCCCCAATTTCTGCACCATCACCACCACCACCACCATCCTCAATGCCTGAGCAACCTCACACAATTTCTCTAGTCCATGAAAAGATAAAACAGGAAGGGAAGAGGTGGAAACATATAGTAAAGAAAGGACTGAGATGAACTGTACCTTCTCCTCTTCCAACATAGACTTCATGCAGAACAAGTCCTTGAATCAGTCACTTTGATGCCACAAGTCAAACTAGTACTGAAACTATTTTAACTTATCACCTTACTTTCAGATACTTGATATATCTTCTGCACTAGCAAAATATTTTTGCACAGAGGAAAACCATGAGGGTCCATCAAAAAATGTGCCCTCTCTCTCTCTCTCTCTCTCTCTCTCTCTCTCCTCCTCTC